CTTTACAAGATTGTTTGTTTGTAGAGCTACTAGGTCACCAGTTGCTATTCTAAATTTGCTTTTATTCAGCCAAAACTGTGAAGGCTGGATTGTGATGCAAGTATATCTTCATCAGGCCAGGAATATAGCTCAGTGATACAAGTGCCTGCCTGGCAAGCACAAGGTCCTGAGTTCAAGTCCTGGGACCAAAAAAATAAATACATAAAAATAAAAGTATATCTTGCTATTTTCTTCTTCTTTTTTCTTTTCTTTTTTTTTTTTTTTTATAGTACTGAGGACTGGACTCAGAACCTTCACACTGAAATACACTCCCAGCACGTTTTATTTTTTGTTTTGAGACAGGACCATGTAAATTGCCCAGTCTGGACTCAAACTTGCAATCTTCCTGCCTCAGCTTCCCAGAGTGCTGGAATTATAGGTGTGCACCGCCACATCTGGCTTTTGCTAACCAATTTTAATTTCAAAAAGCCACACAGAGTCATGCTATTCTTTAATTTCACCACAGGTATTTGTTACCGCAGGCCCAACACAGAACTCAAAATTTTATTTAATCTGTGTTCCCTAAACTTCCATAGCCAGAAAGTGCTGCTGGGTTGCATTAAAGGATCGGAACCCAGATATCACCGACCCTTGTCCTGCCCGCTGCTGCAGGACCTCAGCGGTCCGTGCCTTTCCAGTGCCTGTGCCCTCCCCACGTCTGTGCCGCCAGCTGTCCCTGCAAGGGCACGGCGCGTGCTCACAGGAGGTAGGCCTCTGCTCCCTGTGTCTCCCGTGGTGCCATCCCCCGGGGCCACCCATGCACGCTGCCGTGTCTGGGGTCACCCAGTCTTCTGCCAGAGTGGAAGCAACAGAGCCCTTTATCTGAGGCGAAACCCTGACTAGAGAGGGCCAGAGGTACGCGAATAGGCTCTAAACTGCAGAGCATCGAGTCGGGAAGTGGGCAAGAGTGTTTTCTTCCTCTCTTGCCTTTGTGCAGTCAGCCAGTTCCGCTTCTGCCCAGTGTCTTGTTTTAAATAAAACTGCTCTTTTTTTTTTTTTTTTATTTCCATGTCCTGTGTTCTCCCCATTCTGCCTACCTCCCATCCTGTCCTCTCCCGTCTCTCCCTTTCTCCCTCCCTCCCTCCCTCATGGTGCTGTCTCTCACAGGGTACTTTTCAGTTCACTCCGCTTGGCCGGCCATGTCTGCACACCTCCTCTTAGACCCACACTAGCACCCTTTATTGCACTCACGTTTAAGGAATCTAGTTCTCCTTACAAAGAGATGTTTAATAAGCTTGGTGTTAGATTAAGAGTATTTAATGTGTTTCTTGTACATGATGATTAAATCTGATCTTTTTAAAAATAGCACATTGACTATCAGTCTGAAGAGGTGAAAGGGAATTAGCTAAGGTGGTTGGTAGCACCAAAGGTATCTCTTGTGAGAGTAATACTGGAGAAGTTCCCATCGAGAATCAAGGAAATAATTATTATTGAGAAACAAGTTTGAAAACTGCTCCACAAAAATGCACAATGGGAGAGAATTTTTAAATTAAAATCACAGAATTTAAGAGAAGTTGATTTCCTTAGAAAAATGTTGTCTCAGAAGAAAAATCCCTTCAGGGAAGAAAAACATTTGTGGCTGTGGAACTTCAAGAACAAGCGAACCACAGCTATGCCAGGCTTTGTGGGGCTGGGAGACCCTGTAAACCTCTGTACAGTAGTGAGTGGTGATGCAATATTAATATCTTCATATGGAAAGGCTGTGGATATTTTGATCAACCGGAGGACAACTGAGGATGTGGTTAAGAGAGCAGAGCCATTTTTAAAATTCACAGACTTCACAGTGAATGTTTTGTTTTGTTTTAGGGTAATTTTGGGCCCAACATCCTCCCTTGCCCTTTCCAGAAGTTGTTTGTTTCTCATTTTGGCAATGTACGTTTCATATTGATAAGAACTACCTACTTAGCCTAATTAATAAATGCATTTTAATCCCAGCAGGAATTTGTCCCCTGCTGTGCTAGGCCTTTGGTAAAAGACCAGGTAGCATCTGTGTCCAAAAGAGGAGCAAACGGAGTACAGAAAGCTCCAGAGAAGACATTGCGAATCCCCTTTGGAATGGAGACGAGAATAGTCTATCTGGTTCCTACAATACAAGCTATAAGATGTGTTTTAACTTTTCAAGTTAAATATCAAGAAAAACATAATGTTTAAATCCTATTAATTGATTCAAATGCTTATTAATGCTATTTCTTTCTGGGTACCAGGCTGGACCTTGTGAGTATAAAAGATATGGGGTCCATCCATGAGCTTAGGAAGCCCCCAGTATCATAGGGCCCATAACGTACTGCAGAAAGTCTGGCCCCTTTCTTTCTTCCAGTGCATCAAGTCTGGTCCTGCCGTGGGGATTATTCTGCCCCACACAGCATGTCTAGCTCTAGAGACAGCTTTCACCTCATCATGTTTCTGCCTCCGTTTATGTGTCATTTCTGTCTGAGGGCTCTTCCCTGACTTCCACTCATTTGCATACCTCTGGCACTCTCTAGTCAATGTTTCACCTGACTTATTTCCTTCAATACCGTCTGTCACACTTGTATTGGAATAGAAATTGTTCATGTATTTATTGTCTGCCTCCTTCCACTAGAACACCAACACCATGAGGGCCAGGACTTTTACCTGGCTTGTTGATGGCTATGGCTGTCCTTAGCATCAAGAAGACTATAAGGCAAGCACACTATAAATGTTTTTGTCATTGTTGGTTTTTGTTTGTATAGTAATGGGGATTAAACTCAGGCCTGATCTACCACTGAGCTATAGTCCCAACCCTTTTTATTTTGAAACAGGGTCTTACTAAATTGCCCAGGCTGGGCTCAATCTTCTGAGTTGCTGGCATTACAAGCACATCTTCTACACCTCAAAAAAAAAAAAAAAAAAAAGTTTAGAATAAAAGAACGAGTGAATAGGAGTTGTCTGGATGCATGCAGCAATCAGCACTTTATAATCCAGCATGGTGGAGGATAGACCTGCACAGCACAGATCTGGATACTTCACTGTGTCTAACAAGTGGGAGAGTAGGAAACCAGCCTAGGAGGAGACAAAGAAGGCTTCTAGGGGATGTGAAGATACAGTTTTGAGCCAAGCCCTTGTTCAGAAGCTCACGCAGATCACCATGTACAGGGATGAGAGGAGGTGGGAAATCGGCGAGAAGCCCTGGAGAAGGAGAAAATGGGTCAAAAGCAGACACGCATGGGGAAGGGAACTCCATCAGGGAGTTCAGACCTATCTTGAGGGCAGTGTCATGGACCCTGAATGATAAAAGGGGCAGGGACAAGGAATGGGGATGGATCTGTTCTGTTGAAGGCTCTTCGCAGAAGCAGTGTGAGGAAAGGGATAAACGAGTCCAGTGAGCTGATCGATTCAGTATTGCGGGCACGAGGGATGAGAAATTGCACTACAGCCAGAGTTATGGGAACAGAGCATGAGGGTGGACCGAGGATCACCTGAGAGGAATAGCAAGAGCGGAAGAGAGAGTTCTGCTCCTTGCCTAGCTCTGCCCTCGAGGAGGCAGCCCCTGGAGATGTGGCACATTTTCTGGAGGCCACACAGAAACTGGCAATATTCATCACCTGATAGCCACATGGTGAAGGACGACAGCACCGGGGGTCAACTATTCCTGCTGGAGGCAGAAAACTTGGACCTTATTGCCAGTATTTTGTCTCACGGGTCAACTCTAGGCCAGACTACTTGTTTTCTAATACGTATAGCAGGGTAGGATTTCAGAACTTTCTGCTCCTTTCTAACCAAAAGCTCCATCAGATAAGGATATCTGTTCACATCTGCATTTATCTCAAAATATTTAATGAAGATCTACGATAAGTGCTGGGCTCTGGGGACACAACTCTCACCCTCAAATAATCTGTAATTTAGTGAAAGAGGCAGACAAATAAAAAGACAATTGAAATGTGCTGAGACAGGTATTGTAATAGAACACTGAGATTCCACTGTACTCCAAAAAAGATAGTTACCTTCAAGAGTGAGAGACACATACCCATGTTTATAGCAGCACAATTCATACAGCTTATATGTCCATAAACAGAGGAATGGACAAAGAAAGTGTATTTATACGTGATAGAGTACTACTCTGCCATAAAGGATAAACTTGAGTTGTTTGTAGAAATGAGACCGTAATGTTAAGTGAAATAAATCTGACACACAAGCTTACATATTGCATAGTTTCTTATATGAGGTCACAATAAAGGGTAGATAATAAGAAACAGAGAGATAGATCTTTTACAAAAGGGGAGAAAACTGAGAGGTGAAGAGATGAGGGAGGAACAGTAAGAGAAAGGGGTGAAAAGCGAAGATGTGTTACATACATTACCAACTGCCCATGAGTAATATAACCATGATGTACTACAAACATGTATAAAATAAAAAGTGAAAAAAGTAAAAGAACTCACAAAAGTATAAAGCAAAGATTCTTAACATAAAATAAGTTTGGGAGTGGGTATCATGGGTATCTTGTGTTGGTAAGATATAAAAATACATCCCCAAAGAGAAAAGCAACTTCAGGGGTGTGTGTGTGTGTGTGTGTGTGTGTGTGTGTGTGTGTGTTACTAGGGAGTCAACCTAGGGCCTTCACACTGATCTACATCCTTAGACACCAGATTATTTTTTAATTTTTTTAGGCAGGGTCTCAATAAATCACAAATTAGGCTCAGCTCAAACTTGTAATCCTCCTGCCTCAGCCTGCCAGAGTTCTGGGAAGAAAAAAAAACTAATGGAACAAGGATAAGTGATCATTAAAAATAATGCCAGCTCAGCTATAAATAAACACAAGAGCGTCAAAAATAATCACCGTTAATACTAATAAGTAATGTTTATTGAGTGCATGAAATGTCCCAGGAGCTATGGGTCTTCCATATTTTTCCCTCCTTTCATCCTCATACCAGTCTAATGAGCTAGCAGCATTTTTCTAACTTTACAGATGAGAACGCTGAGGTTCAGAAAGGTTGCATACTTACCCCAAGTCACACAATAGTACGCTCACACCTGGCAGTCTGAATGCAGAGTTTCCAATTGGAATGTGGTCCTGCCTTCCACAGTTAGTGTCATTTGTCTACTGATCGGTCCTCCTCAGGGCTTAGGAGATTTGCCCACGGTCCTGTGCAGCATGACTGAGCATTCGGTCCAGAGGCAGCTGCGCCCCACGGCCATGCCCTTTCACAGCTGTGTCTCCAGGCTGCATATGCACTGAGCGAGAAGAAAACGAAAGAAGAAATACACTAGTAGCAAATACACTTTCCCTTTGTTTTTTTGTCTCAATTCTCCACAGGGAGAGCAAAGTTGTGCCTCCTGCATGCGTGCCTTGGTTCCACCAGGGACTTTGTCAGAGGTGATTAGGCCTGGGGCTGGAGAGGGCCGGCGGGCGGCTGACTCACCCCCACACCACCTCATAGCATTGGCCGGTGGCACTGCCTGATGGGCAGACTCCTAGGTGAACGGTAACCTGCTACCGCTACATGCTTGGGGAATTCTTTCCAAAAACAACAGTTTGAAAGCAGAACTGGAAAAATTGGAAGGTTAGCCCGTGTTTTTGCTGAGATTTTTCAACATTTGTATCTCAGCCTTCTAAGGAGCCACGAGTCACAGTAACAGAAGTGGATATTACCTTCAGCAGGTCCTTTTTGCATAACTGCAAGACCTACGTCTTTTTCCTACCTTAGAGGTGCCTCAGAAATTTTCTGAGTCTCAGATGCCTCGCACTGTGTCTTACGCCTCTGGCCTCCAGAAATCAGAGCTGTTGCCCTGCTCCTTAGGAGAGAGCTGCTTCCCTTCCTGCTACATTTCTCAAGATACAAATGAGCTGGACCCCTTCAAGCCTCCTTCTGCCGGAAACCGACTCTTTTCCATCAGAATTAGGAGATGCCTTCCTCCACATGCTTACCTTGTTCCTTGTCAGCTGGGCCCAGAGCCAGCATTGCTCGTGTCTCCAAAAGCCATTTGTGAGAAGCAGCACCCTTCCTGTTGCTCCCAGCTCTCTCTTCCCATGGAGCTGAGGCTGGGAAGAGACCCCAGAATTCTTCCTCCCCCTTCTTTCTCCATGCTTTTGTCTCCCTTCCAGACAGCTGCTCCCGGAAGGACACTCCTTGCCCTCACGACTGTGAATTTATCCAAAGTGGATAAATAGGTGTGAAGCAGCCCTCTCCGAACTGGGAACCCTGGTTACAGATGTTACCTTCTCTAATAAACGCCATTATGCAAGAGTTACTGAGGGGACACTTGGGTAGCTCTAATAGAGTAAGGTTGTCATGTGAACAGAAAGAAAATGACACAAAATCATTATCATATTTGCACAATTATCTAAAAGTTGTTCTTTTACATTAGAAAGTAAAGTCAAGGAAAGAAGACCCCTCATGCCTTTTTGGAGACTTTGACCTGTCCTGGGACACGTAGGTGGACGGATGGCCTCGAGATCACACCATCTGCAAAAGTGATGGTGTGAGCACAGCCTAAGGAGTGGGGAGACACAAGTCTGTTGCTTACCCTGAAATTTGAACAAGCCACAGAACTTCTGAGCCTTATATTTGTCTTTATGTTAAATAGGGATAAGTAGATCATATTGATGGGTTGTTTGGGTGCAATGTAATATCTCTATTTTTTAAAATTGCAAGTGTCAACATACAGCTGTTATAATATTTCTTCTAAGGAAAAACTAGAATAGAAGTTGAGATGGGGCAAGGGTGAGGAGGCTGAGGAGAAGAGCAGTCTCTCACAGTTGCCTCACATAGCTGCTGTGTTCAGTTAGAGAAGGGAAGCGGAAGGAATGCGAAGGGCAGCAAAGACATTCTTTACCTAGATTGAGATCTTCTTAGGAATCCTAGATACGCTTTCAAAAGTTCCAGTGCATATCTGGCATGATAGCAGAGGTGCTTCTGTTCAGTACATTGCAAAACTCCAAGTTAAGGAGCTTTGTCAGCTGAAAGTTTGAGCTGATACATATGCCTCAGTGCCTCCCAGACTTCCTAGCCTGAGATTCTGGGGTGTGTGTGCGTGTGGGAACACACATATGCAACACTCAACCCAAGCATGACCTAGACCCAACTGGCAAAAGCAAAGCCAAAGCCTCCTCACTTCTCTAGCTGCTGAGCTCTTGTCCCTGGTCCTGTTTTATGCAACACCCTTCTTCACCCTTCCCCTACTAGACAGAGATTTTTCTCCTTGACTGGCAGCTGCAGGCAACTCAGTGTTTTAACCCTTAGATCAGGAGTAATGTTGGAAAAAGTTCCTTTGGAAAGAGCCATGTAAGAGAACAGGTAAAAGCCTAAGAAGGCCATGAAGTTTGATAATAAGATTAAATTGTTTTGTACGGGCTATTAAAATGATCTAGTAGTATGATTTGAATATTAAAGGTAACAGATTTAACCCCTTATAAGAGATTTCTGTTTGTTTGTGGAGTGGTGCTGGACATTGAACCAAGGGCCTCTCCCTTGCTAGTGCTCCACCACTAAGTTACATCCCCAGCCTCCCCTCACACACACACACAATTTGTTTTAAACTTTTACTTTAAGACATGCTCTTACTAAGTCGCCTGGGCTAGGCTCAAACTTTTGATCTTCCTATCTGAGTAGCTAGGACTGCAAGCATGGGCCCCCACACCCAGCAAGGGTGCTTCTTTAAAATGATGCAACGAATGCTTCCTTAGGCTTCTGGTGGAAGCACTGAGCCTCAAAAAAGAGTTCGTAGTGGAAAGTATTTTAGTTGTGAATGTTGCAAGAGAAGGCATTTTAAAAATGCAGAGTCATCGCTGCCCTCAAACATCAGGTACTGCCCTAGTCCTCCCGGATAAGGACAATGAGTGACAGACAAGGAAGCCCCTGTGGGAGAAAGAGTTCTACCCAACAAATGGGAAACCACTTTGACAGCTGGGAATTCCAGCCTTGGTGATGCAGCACTAAGGAATTCCAGGTAAACCCATCCACTCCCAAGCTGTAGATTATGACTACAGAGTCAGGCAGCTGGAGTCCGTGTAGCTCCGTCCTTCCTTTGTGCCTCACCCAGGGCTAGTTCCTTTGTGTTGTGTAAATGCATTTCACAATCCTTTCTTAGGTGGAAATATAGAAGTGCGGGTAACAGCAATAAACAGCACGTATGCAAGGATATCATTCTTATTAGAATCTTTACCATAGGGCTGCTGTGCTGTGGCGCAAGACCTCAAGTTTTCATACAAAAGAACCTTGGATGAAATCCTGCGGGGTCCTCCAGGACTTAGTTAACATTTAGAAAAATCTTCAGGGTAAGCATAATTCCTATTAAAAGGAAGGAGCCAGTAGTGGTTGGCTCTTAGGCACCCTACAGACAGTCTGAGAAACTTTGGGAAGATTTCCCTGGTTCTTTTCAAATCACACCACAAACAGCTGCCTAACACACAGGCAAGGCTGGCCTCAGGAAACACAGACGTACGTCTAGTGTGTACTGGGAAGTTTGCTTTGGCAGATGGGGACAGATCCATTTGTCTGCGGAGGCACTGCCTGCCTTGCATCGTAGCAGATTTAAGAGGGTGGAGTATTTTTCTTTGAGGTCAAGGTTGGCACAGAAAACTTCCTCAGTGAAATTTTCTGCCAGACTGGGTTTTTTTTTTTCCTTGCAGGATTCCACCCCCCTGAATCTTTGGGTCTTTGGTCAAGTTCGTAGCATTTTGGCTGATGTTCCAGAGGTGATATCTGTTCCTTCCTGGTGCGGTGAATGCAAAGATATTTTTTTTCTTGAGTGAAATTTACAAGCACGGATTTCTCCTTGACAGGAACAAAGAGCCACAGAGATTTCCTAGGGAGAGAAAAAAGCTTCCAGATGCACAGCTCCAAATATGAGCGTCGTCCCACCTCTGGCATTTTTTAAATTTAATAATTACACTGGACATATTTATCCAGAAGCAGGCCTACAATTTTTATGAGACTTCACTAAAATTTCTAGTCACAAATACATCTGTGTCTCTCCTGCCTGGGCTCCGGGCAGCATTTATCTTCCTTAAAGCTGTCCCTTCTGAGTTCCTGAGTTCCAACTCTGTCTAGAGACTAAAGAAAATAAGAGAAACGCATTTATGCTCCTCTTGCTTTCCGTAGCCAGAATGGCACAGGCTGCAGGATAATAAAAGGACAAAAAAACTTCATAAACTCTCGAACTTTTAGGGAATTACTTTTAGTTGTCTTTAGGTAAAGTGCTACTGAGGAAAAAATAACCGATGTCAAAAAGGTTTAACAAAGTTCCACCGTGAAGCAGTTTTATACTTTTTAAAACTAATTAAAACATCCTAATTGGTATCATTATCTATTCTAGAAAATTATTTTCCATAAATATTATTTATGGAAAATATTATTTTTAATATAAATATTAAATATTAAATATTTTTAATATAAATATTTTTAATATAAAATATTATTTTAAAAATTATTTTAAATTTATTATACCTAAAATATAAAAATATTCTCTCATGATAACCAGAATTATGTGTGAGTGATATTTAGGTCCCGTGTGGAAAATCACTATCAGCCACGTTATTTGCAAAAAATGTTTTAGAGTAGTAGTTCATTCTATTTTAGTATAAAAGCACTTCTCTTTTGCATCTTAGACCTTGTTCTTAGAAATCCTTTCAGTTATATTACTGTGCATTCATTTTTAACCAAACATGGAGATATTAAATGCTGGTAAAGGACTTTAGTTCAATTTAATTGTAGACAGAGATGACACTAACATCTATATGAAAGAGACTCTTCCTCGGAGAGTCTGGCGCTGGATCACTGTTCTGCATTTCTAAGGTGCTCCCAAGAGGTAGATAGCTCAGGTCTTCAGACCATTCTAAGAGGTAGACGGTGGAGCACCTTCCTTTCCCTGGGCCTCCACACAAAGGATGACAAACGTGGGCACTGGTGACACACAAGCTCCAAGAACACGAGGGTACAATGGGGGGACTAGACCCTCCAGAGGTACTCTTGCCATATTTTTACAGTGTACCCTGTATTTTAATCAATTTAAGAAATAAGTTAACCTCTCCTAAATTCAAAACCCTAGCTACTATATAACATAAAATCATACAACATAAACAAGTAATCTCAAAAAAGCTAACAATGTGCCCTGATCAATACCTCTTTAAAGACTATAATATTTTCCTTTGTTGGAAAATATTATTTCCCTTATTTTTTTATTTTTAAAAATTTCAAACGTACAGACAAGTCAAAAGACTAATATAGTACTTTAAAACCTTATAGATTTACAGATAAACACACTGCTGTACTTTCTTTCCCTACCCCTCTAG